CCAGGCCGCCCGCGTCCCCAGGCCCCGCGGCTGCAGCCACAGCGATTGTCGAGAGGTGCCCGCCTCTGAGCCCGCTCTTGACCTCACGTCACGCCTTCTAGAACCCTCCACCCCGGGCCGCCCAGGGGCATGCTGGGATTTGTTGTGTGTGGAGAGCGGCTGCCGCGAGGAATGCTGGGACTCGCAGTCCTGGGGAACTACAAACAAGATGGCTGCCTTGGCTGAGCTGGCTAAGGCTTGAGGATGGCTGTCAGGCTTTGGCATGACCTAGGTTCGAATCCTCCCTTCACAAGGTATGGCATCCGCACCTCCGTTTTCTTAGTAGTAAAACCCGATTATAGCCGAAGCCGGTTTGAGTGATATCTCTTGAGTGTCCTTTACTCCCTGTCTACTTTCTTCCTTCTTAATTATTTGTTGACTCACTAGGTCATCTGGACATTGTCATTGTCGTCCTGAGTACTGATGGTGGCGATGAGGCATCTTCACATGACTCCTCAGGTCCGAGGGAGCCTGGAGCAGAAGAGGGAGGACATGGCAGATACGACCACCTGCTTGGTAAGCACAGTCCAAGCACAGTGCAAGTAGGACGCTGCAGAAGAACTAGGGCTATCAGTATTATCATGACCCAATTCGTTCTCTCTTGCCTGCTGGAGCCTCCTACCTGTTCTCTTTGTTCTACTCTTGCCCCTGCAGCCCATTAGCCACAATGTAGCCAGACATATTTGTCCACCGTGCAACCCGATATGCTCCGCCCCTGCGTTAAACCCTTCCCTAACTCCCTAATTACTCTTGGGAGAAGGTCCAACCTCCTTCAGGCTCCACATTCCTTCAAGATCCCTCACCTTCCCACCTCCCCAGCTTTATATCTTTCCACTCCCCACCTGATATCTGCATCTAGCAATTGGGATTTTCTTCCGTTTTCTGTGGAATTTCTCTCTTTTCCTCTCTCTTACCTTGAAACTTGGATACGTTTATCCTTCTCCCTGCTAACAACTGCCATCTTTTACATCCAAACAGACCTTTCCAGCATATCAGATGTTTGTGGTGCTTTTGGAGCCAGAAGAAAGGGACTGTTGTAGATTACAGACAATGACGAGCGGTCCTGTTTTAAAGTCTTGGAGAACCTCGTGCAATGTATTCTGCCAAGAGCAGGCTTAGAAGTAGAAAAGGAGGGATTTTCACACGGCTCTTGGGGGTTAACATCAATGAGAATGCCCACGGTGTTCCTTGGTTTCCTTGGTGCCCGTGACGGGGACAGAATAAATGGGCAATCGGACGGAGCAGTGAACCTTCTCCCCTGTTCCCACATTGTCCCGAGGAACAATGGAGCGGGCTCCTGTACGCATTCTTGGCTATTTATTATACTTTGTTCTCACAGCTCTCGCATGTGTTTAAAAAGATAAAACTGGATTTATTCATAAGCATTTGCCCCTGCATGACACCGTGGTGTGGTCTACAATTTTCTTTATAATATTTCTGCATGCAGAGTGTGATAGAATGTGTGTGTTGGCTTTGATCCACCCCGGGGCAGGTATGCTCCTCCCTAACCACAATGTCAAGGTAATTTAATCAAAAGCAGCTCCTACAAGCGCGGTCGCTACCTTACTGCTCATTAACATTAGCCATGTTACAATGAGTTTTTTGTGGATAACATGAGTGGTATTTAAGATTTTACATAGATATCTATAATCATAAAAGCATAATATGCTAATTAGACCAGATGTCCTTCCGGACGACCTTCCGCAGGAAGCTGGGGCTGTGAGGAAAGCCCAGGTCCCAGGTGCCGGCGGCCAGAGATCGGGCCTCTCATATATATGTTAGAATTACTGGAGGTGTTTCCATCCTGACATTAATAAGGCATAGAAATCCAGTGAGCTCTTCCGTCTCCCACACTCAAGATGGCACCCCAGGTTTGATTCTTAAGTGGTCCTGTGCCCCATACTGGTGGGGAGAGTTCTTGGTCATATCCTGCCACTAGAACACTTTTTCATTTGCCTCAGAGGAAACATATGTTTGGAAAAACAAAGAGGAACAGAGCTGGAACTCGATTATTTCTAGAATATGTGGTTTGGCTCTTTCATTCCGACTCGCTAAATGTCCTTTACTGGAGGCAGATTTTTTGGTGAAACTTGCTTTCATTAAAACCTGGTAGAACCAAAGGGTGAAAGAGGAAATCACAGGGGAAATTAGAAAATGCTTTGGGATGAATGAAAATGAAAATGCAATAAACCAAAATGTAGGGGATTCAGTAAAAGCAATGGCTAGGGGAATTTACAGTTATAAATGCCTATTTTAGAAAAGATCTCAAATCAGTGATCTAAAACTTCCACCAAACTAAACTCAAAGCAAGCTGAAGGGAGGAAAGAATAAAGATTAGAGCAGAAATAAATGAAATAGAGACTAGAAAAAAATAGAGAAAAATCAATGAAATAAAAAGTTGGTTCTTTGACAACATGAACACAATTGACAAACCTTTAGCTGCTAGATTGACTAAAAGAAGCAGAAAGTAAAGAATCAAATTACTAAAATTAGGAATGAAAGAGGGAATTATAAGTGAATACTTTGTACAAATATATGCCAACAAATTAGATAATTTAGATTAAATGGATAAATTCCTATCCCAGCTGGTGTGGCTCAGTGGTTGAGCATTGACCTATCTACCGGGAGGTCACGGTTCAATTCCTGGTCAGGGCCTATGCTAGGGTTGTGGACTTGATGCCCAGTAGAGGGTGTGCAGGAGGCCGTCGATCAATGATTCTCTTTCATCATTGACGTTTCTATCTCTCCTCCCATCCTCTCTGAAATCAATAAAAAATATTTTTTAAAAAATGGATAAATTCCCAGAAAAACACAAAACTGATTCAAGAAGAAATGTTCACAACAACTCTGAGATAGGTACTATTATTATCACTATTTTAAAGAAGAAATGGCCATAACCGGTTTGGCTCAGTGGATAGAGCGTCAGTCTGCGGACTGAAAGTTCCCAGGTTCGATTCCAGTCAGAGGGCATGTACCTTGGTTGCGGGCACATCCCCAGTAGGGGGTGCACAGGAGGCGGCTGATCGATGTTTCTCTCTCATCGATGTTTCTGGCTCTCTATCCCTTTCCCTTCCTCTCTGTAAAAAATCAATAAAATATATTTATAAAAAAAGAAAAAAAAAAGAAGAAATGAAACTTAGCACAATGATGTACAGCAAGTAAGTGGCAGAGCTAGGACTGAAACCCAGGTGTATTAGTCAGCTCAGGCTACCATGACTGTCGACGGCTTAACTAGCAGGAATTAATTTTCTCAGGGTCTGGATGCTGGAAGTCCAAGATAAAGGTGCCCCTCCCGGGGAGTTTCTGTTCCGGGGAGGAGTCTCTTCCTGACTTGTACATGGCAGCCTTCTTTCTGGCTTTTTCACAGGGCCTTTCCCTAGCGCGTGAATGTGGGTAGAGTGAACAAGGGAGCTGTCTGGTTTCTTTTCTAAGAGCACTGAACCTATCGGATTACGGCCCCACATTTATGATCTCATTTAACTTTAATAACTTTCCTAGAGGCACCATCTCCAAATACAGCCAGACTGGGTAAGGGCTTCAATGGAGGGGGGTGGGGGACACATGCACTTGGTCCCTAACACTATGCCTGTCTGACAGGAGCTGAGAGTCTCAAATTAGTCAAGACCTCTGATTGGTTCTGACACTATATTAGGAATGATGTGGCGGTGGGAGGTGGGTGCTTTCATTTGCTCCACTGAGCCAGAAACTGGAATCCAAATAGGGCTGCTAACCTCTCAGAAGCATACCACCCATAGGGCTTTGTCAGGGAACACTTGAAAGTGTTCCTGGCTTTAGAAGTCCAACTAAACGGAAGAGTTCAGAATAAAAGGGAAAGATTTTGCAAGGGGGTTGGGGGTGGGGAGTAATCCCACGGACTCAGAAGCCATGACTCAGAAATAAAGTCTTTTTTATTTATTCCCCAAGTCAGAAATGACTTGCTGGGAAGCCCAGTGACCTTTCCCGTTGATGGCAACAGGTAAGGGAAGTGTCTTTGAAGTTCCTGCAGAGATGTCATTTGAGGCAGTATTTATCTGATTTCCTTTTGCGGTCAGATTGTTTTGGTCCTGATCATTGTTCTGAAGAAGGAATAAAGATTGTCTGTGGAAGTATATCAAACACTCCTTTCATCTCCTTTACAGAAGAACCCAATTTAGCCAGGACATTTGCTTGCGTTGTAATTATTTACCTAAAGGACTCCCTGTGTGTTTGCAGACAAGTAACTCATTCTCCTTGTAAATTGTGAGTGGTTAGAGATTGTACTGATATCCCCAAGTACCATTAAGCAGACAGCTGTTGTGGTCCATTTTCCTTCAGAAGATCCATAACTCCTCAAATGTTACTGGGTCAGGATTCAGAAGATACGAATTCTTAGACAAGGATGAGGGAGGATGCGAAGGAGCTGCAGTGTTAAGCTCTGGTAGTATGGAAACCATGGTTCAGAACCCTGGATTTTCAGTTATAAACAAGCAATTCTCTCCAAGAGTTTTAATATTGTTTCCTGGAATTTTAAAATCAGAATTTTCTATTTTAATCTTTGATCCAGAGACTTAAAGAATACCTTTGTTGTTGTTGTTGTTCTGGAAATGAATCAAGAACATAAAACTGAATTTCCAAAGATCCAAAAAGGGAAGTGGAGTTGCTTCAGGCTAGGTTAGAAGAACATGGAAATCATGACAAGAGATTGTCAACTGTCCAGAGAAATTAAAAGTGCTTTACCTCAAGGTGGAGCTGAAACTGTGGTTAGTGTTTAATACCAGACTGATTCTTGGTAATAGTAACTCCATTTTGAAATGTAGGCCAGAGACCCTTAGGCAGTTTTGCATGTTACCAAACGATGTCCTGAAGGTCTAGCCATTAGGAAGGTGTGGCTCTAGGGCAAAGGTTGGCAAGCCCATGGGCAAATCTAGTCCAGTGCCTGTTATGTATAGTGCTACAAGGCCTATGGCTGGCTAAGCCTAAGATACGTACTTCCTCTCCTTTTGCAGAAAAAGTTTGCCCAACCCTCCTCTAGGGCCTCACGTCAGCCCCATCCCCACCTCCTCGTCTATTGGTCTAGCGGGGCATGGTGTGTCAGCATCACATGAAAAATTGACCAAACTCTGGCTCGGCTGTTTCTGCCGGCATGACAAACCTTGCCATCCATTAATGCTTGAGCCACATGTTAATTAAGATGATATAAGCAGTTAAAGTGATCTAGCAGAAGCCAGAAAATAAATAAGAACTTTATTTAAAAAAAAAATCAGCAACCATTAGAGGGGAATCATCTTTAACTTGATCTTTTCTTCTATATTTGAAAAGTATCTCATCTTTGTTAAAATTTCCTTGGCCTTTTCAAAATCATCTGAAATAAACAGAGACATTAATGTGAGACTTCATTTCAGGCAAGAATAAAACTAAGTCTATTGATTAAAGAGCTGGATTAAAGTTGAGCCCCCCACCTCTGGAGGGCTGGACAAGTTCATCCATGTTGGAGCATGTGTCAGAATCTCCTGCCTTTTTAAGGCTGAATAATATTCCATTGTACGGATATGTCATATTTTGTTTATCTGTTCAATTATTGATGGACACGTGTTAGCTATTGTGAAAAATCCTATGAACACGGGTATTGACAAGAATCACGTCCTTGACCAAAGTCTAGCCAGGCTCCTCTGAACTCTCTTCTCAAGTAGGCCTCAACCTTGACCTATACTAACATATGATAACATAGCTTCTAGTAAGTCAGGCCACATCCCTAGATAATCCTAGACCCTCTTAAAATGCCTCCCCGAGTAAACTCAAGGCTGACAAAAGAACTTGCTATTTATTGCAGCCAATATGAAAGGATAGTGTTTCTGTTTCCCAGGGAGGGTAGGAGCCTCACTTCAATAAGTGCCAGTTAGCAAACCCAGATGGGTTTCACATGGACCACCCCCCCCGCCCCACACACACACACACTTCCTGCTTTGGAATTTTTCACTTCCCAGATCCCTCTGACCTCCTGTGCACCACCACCGCATTTCCTCATTGTCCCTTAAAGTGCCCAGTCAGAGAACCAAGATGGGGCCTTTGGTG